GTACGCATCTGAGCGAAGGGCAAGAAGGTCCTCACACTTCTTCACGGGGGCAAATCGTGTCCTTGGGATCTTGATGGCTTGTGCTCCATCGAAACAGGAAATGGCAGCACCCATGGCGGTTTCCAGTTGCACTACCTTTGTTGACTTCTTGTCTCGGGGGTCAACGGTCTTGTCATTCTTCATGACGGGTAGAGGCAGTGCTCCACCGCTCTTATCAAAGAGCTCTTTCAGCTTCCCCAAATGAACCCAAAGATTGTTCGTGTTGAAATAGGTGTACTTGCTGACATCCTGGAATGCTGCTTCGTCATCTTTCGGGCACTGCGCCGACTCGCGAAGCGTGAGGCCACCCTTGTCCTTCATCAGAATCTCTTCAGGATCCCTAATGCCTAAACCTCAAGACTTCTCTGAGGGCCTCTCAGATGCAGATGCTGATGAATGGCTGGTTCAGAGTAGCCTGGAGCAACCCCAGCTGTTCCAGCATCAAGATAGTCATAGCTTTCAGTTGGGCATGTGGGCCATACAACTAGCTCCAGGGTTGAGTACTTTCATCTGAAGCCCTAGATCCTCAAACATAAACTTAAATCCTAAATCGTAGGTCCTACGCCTGTCCTTCATGACAGCTAGGTGACCCCCCTTCTTGTCGGCATCCGTGCGTGCCGCCACCTCCATGAGGAAAGGTGCACCGGAATCGGCGAAGTACGTCAGGAGCCTGATTAGGGCTTGTGTGTGTCTCTCTATCTCTCTACCTACTTACCCATCAGTCCCTATCAGCCTACCCAGCCAGCGAGCTAGCTTTGCATCATGCATGCACGTGTGCACAGATGTGCTTCTGTAAAAGTATGCGCGTGTGTGTGTGTGCATATATGTATATACACACATCTGTTTCTGTCTGGAATGTTGACTGTAGGGTTGGAGGCAACCGATGTGCATGTATACACACATACAGATATGTATGTGTGTCTACATACTATTGAAGAACTGCTTGTATATACCTTACATACATCGGCATGCATATGCACATATACTTATATGTGTACACACGTAGATTTTGCCGAGAAGGCTTTGGCTGTGAGCTCAGCCGCTCAGCTCGTTGGCCCGAAAGCTCGGAGGACCAAACATATTCAAACTTTCAGTTCCAGAAAGAAAACGGCCAAACAGTAGCAACTTCACCAATCCACACGCTAAGCCCCGAAAGCTTGCAAGTTCAGCCAAGCCGCCGCAAGTCCAAGGTCGCACCAAGGTTGTCGGAGTTGGACACGAACATGTACTTGATCCTTGGACTTTAGGGTTCCTACACAACGAAGATTTTCGGGTTAACCGCATCTTAAACTCCCAGAGTCCCTCAACACACTATGGCACTGAAGACCTGACCAAATGCATCGCGAAACCCCAACTCTGAGTTCCCTGCAAGGGGTTCTGGGCTTCGGGCCCGAATTCTCAATCTGCACAGTCCCTACCCCCGGATGCTCAAATGTGGACCGTGCTTGTTGCACTGCGGCGCCTTCTGAATTGGCTATAGATGGAGTGTCAATCCAAATCGAACCAATGCACACAGACTTGTTTGGTTTCGGCTAACTCTCCGACTGAAAATTCCACTCTGTAGGGCTTAGGATCAAAGGGGGCTTGGGTTCTGAATCCATTGAAAGGCAGATCTATACACAGTATAGGCAACATGAGGATGCTTGCAAACCTCACTCGGGTCCTAATCCGAAGCTCTGCACCCTTTCTTTTGACGAGGCACCCCTTGGCCAGCAGGCGCTCCAGCGTGCCGGACCTTGTGGCTTAGAGCTTTGGGTCAGGACCTGCTAGCGAGTTTGGTGTTCAGAGCGTGAAGGCTTGCAAGCTGATGGGCTTTGGGCTTTGGGTGCTTGAAGGCTTGGATCTTTTAAACATGTCCGATAAGCCCCCAGCAGGCCGCAGGACCAAACCCCGAAGCGCCGAAACTCTTAACCCCGCACCACATCATGTCTTGTCATGCCCTAAGCCCTAAATGCCGTTCCCGAAACCCCAAAAGCTTCCACCTCAAACCGTAAGCAAACCTTACGGTATTCCTGGGTCTCCAGCCCTAGCATGGCCGGATAAAGGTCTCCATGGCCAGGTGGGCCTGGGATGATTCGGCTTACGAAACGTGAGGAGTTCATCATGCTTTCGTTTTCTGTGACTTGTGAAGTTCTAGCTACAAAGCTCCTTAGGGCTTCTTGCAGCGAGCCCTGTCGAGGTGTTGCAAAAGCCTTGCACAAACCACGAGCATCAAGGGCTTTGATTTGAGGGCCCTTAGGCTTTCGGGCACACTTCGAAATGCGCTTGCGTGTAACAGGGAACTGCATCTGCGCAGGGGTTGTATCGAAAAGAACATGACTACGGTGTACAAAGGCGCAATGCTGTAAACTCCGAAAGTCACTCACTCCCACAAGGGTGCTGAGCATAACACTGGACCCTGACACAAACGCTGAACAGTAGGAAGACCGAGAATGAACTCTCAAAGGACGGTACCGTAGTTGTTGTAAGAAGCCTGCCGCCCTTCCCTGCATTGCCAAGGGGCACCACTCGTGACTCGGCTCAGAGGGCCATTCGGCGGGTGCGTAGCCATCTGCGGTAACCTTCGGTGCCTTGTTCTGCACGAACTGCAGATCATCTCCAGTTCCCAGATCCTAGGTACTGGGCTTTCTTAACGGTGCAACGGGAGGTGCCGGAAAGGTCTCACAGCGACCGAACACACCACTTCCCCTACATTTAGGCCATGCACCCTGCAGTAAAGCACAAGAATAGATCCGGGAAGATTTAAAAAAAGCATGAACCCAGGATCCGGGTACTTGGACAGCGCTTCCAAAGTGTCCGCGGAAGTCGAGAAGGAGTTCATGAGCATGAACTTGAGGTCCGGCATGCTGTAGGTTCCCTTCATCCAAGCCACCTTCAGGTCTAGGCTTGAAGGCTTGAGGCAAAGATCCTTCGGCAACCAGCTTTGACCAACCTGCTTGATCAAGCCGTGGACAAATCCCGACCTGCTTGGCAATGAGGTCCAGGAAGGTGTTCCCGCCCGTGACCTCCAGCAGCGACTTGGCCTTGTCAAGGCCCATGCCCGTTCCTCGGATAGGACGAAGCTCAGGGCAGGTTCCCTATGCAACTGGACAAAGCTATCAACACTGGGACCATGCCTCAATCCTTGGGCGCAAGCACGTGAAAGGGTTGGTGAATGGTGTTTCCGACGAGCAGTAGCACGCATCGGGAGCGGTCGCAGCAGCAGTGAAGGGAGAGGTGGATAAGTAGGTCTTGGAACGGGCGGCAGAGGCGGGGGCTGTAGGCGATCGCAATAACGCCAGCAACGTATTGGAAGTCTCTACACAGGGGCAGGGTGGGGGGGGGGAGATTTACACTACTTTACAACCAGAGACACAATTTTCGATAACCTGAGAAGCTGCACTTTGCAACCGGTGTCTTTCTGTCTCCCTGTCTCTCGTCGTCTCTCTTTCTTTCTTTCTTTCACCAGGCTTGAGGGCAGACGCCCGTCGGTTTCTCCGGTATGCACGGCCGTTGCGTGCGAAAGGCTAGACTACTGCTTGCTGCCCCGGGTTTCCTTGTATTCTTTCTCTCTTTCCCTCTGTGTCTCCCCCTCTCTCTCTCTCTCTCTCTCTGTCTCTCTGTCTTCCCCACCCTCTGTGTCTCGGTCCCTCTCTCTTCCTCTTAGTTCTCGCTCTGTCGATCTGTCATGATGACAACAGCGACGATGATGATGATGATGATGATGATGATGCGGATGATGACGGTGATGAGGACCTGCGGCTTTTAACCCTCAGGAAAGGGAAAGTAGCCGTGACACAGTGCTGTAAAGCTGACCCAAAACCACCCTGTGTTGTAAAGCGTTGCTGTACGGTTAAGCTCAAACTGCATGCATCAACCAACGCATGCTCCAATTCGAAACTGTCCGGGTTTTGTGTCCAAGTTTAACTGCAGCTCTCTTGGAATTGTCTTACAAACGTCAGCGAGCAAACAAGCACACTTTCAAACCTTTACGAACTTTATGGTTGCTCTAAAGGGTGGTGCTGGGGCTTTCCGGCTTTGACATTCCGTTTAAGTAGTCTTAAGACGCTCGCACTGCCGGTTGCAAAGTAGGGATTCTGGAAAGGCTTGGCTTGAATTCAACAAACTCCAATGCACGAAGCCACTGAGAGTTCCATGTCTTCGAAGCAAACAATTCTCAGTGCAACCCAGGCTCCTAAGCCGCCGTTCAATTTCAAGACGACGGTCTCCTTCAGCAGCTCGGGCTTCGGCGTGATCTCAAGGCTCTCCAAGTCGGGCAAAGTCGGCACCGGATCCAAAGCGGCCTGCAAGCCACAAGCGAGCTGGCGGAAGCGAATTCACCGAAGCCGCGCCAAGGCCCTTCCTCCTTGCTCAAAGAGCCCTCCATTAGCGTTCACGTTTACTGCCTCGCCTCGCTGTGACATTCGGTCTACTGCGTACGAAGAAGCACCCCAACTCTCTGAAATCTCGAAAGCCTCTGGGTTCAAGCGTCCCGCCCTGAGCTAGAGCGCCTCCGGGATCATGGTATCAGCACCAGACGTCAACACTTGGAAGTTGTACTTGAAGGCATTGACCGCAGCATCGGTCTCGCTCTCCTTGCCTCCAGCTCGCATCTTCGTCTCGTACAGCGGCCAAAGCGTGTCGAAACTCATGGCGAGTGGGATACAAAATCGGAGACCCAGACAGCTTAGTAGAGCATGCGATCTATTCGCCACGCGACTTGGGCCAAACCGACGGAGCAAAGGAACCTGGAGGCAAGGATGACTAGACGAGGCTTGGCAGTTTTCAGACTACACTGTATTCAGGAACCCTATAAGTACTACGGAATAGTTTTCATTGTCTAGTGATTCAGGCTTCTATATTCCGCGGCTGCACTTGCCGAGTGGAACATCGATGTTGGACGGTAAAGGCTTCGGGCAGCAGCAGGCTGCCTTCTTTCCCAAAGCTCCTTGCGAATCTCGCAACTCAAGTCGTGTCCAGAGTCAGCGGAAGTTATGCAGGAGCTCGGCTTCCTTACCTGGGCTCAATGTCGGCTGGAGTGAAACGGGCGCATCCGAGACACACAGGATGAGAAGACACTCCACAAAGCTGCAGAGAGATTGCTGGATCATGGTGCCCGGCCTTCACCGCTTGCAAGATCACCACAAACCTAGGGGGACAGGGTCTAGAGTCCCTGGACTTGGGGTTAAGCGAAAAGGTGGGCATTTCCGTGCTTTGCCAGGCACTTGGTGATTCCGAGATGAAAGCCTGAGACAGATGCCAATCCAACGACGACTGTGGTGTCATCGAGTTTGCCACCTGCAGTAGAAAACTCCCAGTAGCCTCGTGTCACACCACGGCAACCTTCATTCACATTGCCCACCTCGAAATGATAGGCCTTCTGAATGAGCGGCCAATGCAAACGGTGTGATGATGTCCTTCAGTACCAATGCGGCTTCAGACGCAAAATGACTGCAGGTGCTTCAAAAACTAGACGGGCAACAACTCATGAAGAGATGCGAGCAGAATGCCGTAAGCCCAAGATCCTCAGAAATGAAAGCATCGCACAGACTCAGCGGCACTAAGCCGAGACCTTGTTGTCCTCCTGCTGCCCAATGCGCTGTGCCTGATTGCTCAGCATTCGGCTTTGCACTGTAGAGCAGTTTCGCAGTCAGGGCAAGCACATCGAAGCAGCATTGACAGCGACGAAGTGAACACGAGCGAAGGAATCCACGGCTAGGAACAAGGGCAAGGCCTGCTTGGCGATACTGGTGGCGAGACCGCTTAGATGCGGGCTGACCTTAGACTCAGCAGCAGTGCCACCCGAACTCCGACTAGTTGCCTTGGTCCGGCAACCGGCGCCTTTAACTTCAAACACGCCTCAAATCCTCAGATTCGTGCCGGCGCGCCGACGCTCCAAGCTTTTGCCAGTTGCTGCGCCACAATGGCTTGCACCTCGTAAGAACGGGTTGTAGGCTTGCTGGCTGATCAAGAGATGAGGTTTTGGTAGTAGTAGTCGTCGTGGTAGTAGTAGTAGTAGTAGTAGTAGTGGTTAGGTGTAGGAGTCGGAGTAGTAGTAGTGGCAGCTTGGTAGTGGTAGTAGTAGTAGCAGTAGTAGTAGTAGTAGTGGTAATAGTAGCGGTAGTGGTAGTGGTAGTGATAGTGGTAGCCGCAGCAAGCACGTACAGCAGCGGCAGGAGTAGAAGTAGAAGTAGAAGTAGAAGTAGAAGTAGAAGATAGTAGATAGTAGATAGTAGATAGTAGTAGTAGCAGAAGTAGTAGTAGTAGTAGTAGTAGTAGTAGTAGTAGTAGTAGAAGTAGTAGTAGTAGCAGTGGGAGCAGGAGTAGGAGTAGGAGTAGAAGAAGTAGTGTAGTAGTAGCAGTAGCGGTAGCAGCAGCGGTAGTAGTAGTAGTAGTAGTAGTAGTAGTAGTAGTAGTAGTAGTAGTAGTAGTAGTAGTGGTAGTAATAGTAGTAGTAGTAGTAGTAGTAGTAGTAGTAGTAGTAGTAGTAGTAGTGGTAGTGGTAGTGGTAGTGGTAGTGGTAGTAGTAGTAGTAGTAGCAGTAGTAGTAGTAGTAGTAGTACCCATGCGCGCCTCCTGGCGCCTGGTGTTTTGCTCTGTTTTCAAGTGTTTCGGGGAGGTTTTGGGTTGGGGGTTGGGGGTTGGGGGGTGGGGGGGAGGGGGGGTTAATAACGACATGGTCGACCGCAATGGTTTTCTTGTTGCCAAAAACACTGGCAGTGCCGGTACTTTGGAGCGTTTTATGGGGCCTTTTCTTCGACTGGGAGGGGAGGGTTTGGTGGGGGTGTCAATCACGACTTGCTGAACCGCGATTTTTGCCGAAAACGCAATCCCCAAGGTGTGGCTCGATTTTCGTGTGTTTTCGAAGCATTTTCTTCCACTGGTGCGGGGGCATAACTAGCATCATCATCGTCATCCAAAAGTATTGTTATTAGTAAACCAATGTAGTTTTGACAACGTACCCAAACTGCGATTTTCACAAAACCCTGTAAAAACCGATACTTTTGACCCTCGAACTAGTGGCCGTAGTCCTCAGTCCTAATATTGGCTTCCAATAACATGCACATCGTTGGCATTCTCAGCATCTTCATCACCATCATCAGTAGCATCACTAGCATCATCATCGTCATCCAAAAGTGTAGTTCTTAGTAAAACAAAGTAGTTTTTGACAACGTACCCAAACTGCTATTTTCACAAAACCCTGTAAAAACCTGTACTTTTGACCCTCGAACACCTCCAAACTACCAGGCGCCAGGAGGCGCGCAAGCCTAGTAGTAGTAGTAGTAGTAGTAGTAGGTAGTGGTAGTGGTAGTAGGTAGTAGTAGTAGTAGTAGTAGTAGTAGTAGTAGTAGTAGTAGTAGTAGTAGTAGTAGTAGTAGTAGTAGTAGTAGTAGTAGTAGTAGTAGTAGTAGTAGTAGTAGTAGTAGTAGTAGTAGCAGTAGCAGTAGCAGTAGTAGTAGTAGTAGTAGTAGTAGCAGTAGTAGTAGTAGTAATAATAGTACTAGTAGTAGTAGTAGTAGTAGTAGTAGTAGTAGTAGTAGTAGTAGTAGTAGTAGTAGTAGCAGCAGTCGCAGTAGTATATAGTAGCGGCAGCAGAAGTAATGTGAGCCGGGGTAGTAGTAGTCGTCGTCGTAGTAGCAGTGGTAAAACTAATAGGAAGAGGAGTAGCAGAGTAGCAGTAGTGCTGGCAGCAGCAGCAGTCACCAGCAGTCGAAGAAGAAGTAGTAGTCGATCGTACTGGGGTGAGGTGGGCTAGTAGTGGCAGATACTAGTAGCAGTTCTAGTACTGGTGGTAGTAGCAGCAGCAGCAACAACAGCATTGACCGCAACGGCCCCAATACAGACGGACAGCAACAAGACGCAGTACACGTCCAGAACACTTGACCCTTGACCATGAGCCTGTCTTGACCCCGCAACACGCATACGAACTGCACGACCAGTCATCGATGTTATGTCGATGACGATGTCGGCGAAAGTCGCGCATGCTTGAATGAGCATCAGCTGTCGCGATGAAGTTCAGTCTGTATGGAGTTTGCCTGTAGAGGCCAAGGCTTGGGTTTTCGGTCCGGGCTTTTGTTCAGAAGAGTTTATGGTCTAGCCAGGAACTGGAGTCTCCAAAAAGATAGAGGATCCCCAGAATCCCTTAAACTGAAAAGCTCTGAACAAAGGACGCCTTAATTCTAAGAAGCACCGATCATGCACGAGCCTGGTGATCAAACAGGTTGTCAAAGACCCCGTCGGTTGCAGCAATGACCTGTGAACAAACGACCCCTCACCTGGTCAGTCTCGAAAAATCCGCTTGCCGCCTGTGGCACATCTGCATTGTTCTGCATCCTATTCCCCGACTCACAAAGAACCACAACCTTAATGCCGTGCATAAGCTTATCAAACCAGGCTATACAGCATTCGAAAACGCTCTCAACAACGAAAGAGAGGTTTACGAATCTTTACGTAGGCACAGACTTCACGAACTGTCAAAACTTCCGGAGCCCCTTACATGTAACATCATGTCAGACAGCACTTAAGGGGAACCAACAACCAACAGAACATGCCCAAAATGCCGAACCTCAGTTTGATGCAACAACCCGGGGACCCAGAACGGAAGCTGCATACCCTTAACGCCTTCAATCCTTCACAGAAACCTCAATCCCCGAACCGAACCCAAACTGCAAATCCGGAATGCCAAAAACACAAATCTTACAGCACAGCATAGGCTTACAGAAACTCCCGGGCTGACCAGGTCGCCAGTTCGAACCCGAACGCGGATGAAATCGGGAGCCTGGAAAGCACCAGTGTGGTAGCGCGGGGCTGGTGTTCAAAGAGCTTGAAACAGGTTTAGGATTGTTGGGGCTTGGGGCTGTAGTGTTTAGTGCTGGAATGTGCCAAAACCTTGACACAGTCTTGCAGGGGTTCTGTGAGTTCTGACTGCTCCAAACGAATGCGTTGTACAAGTAGTATGGAGTTCAATGGGTTGCTGGAACCATCCATGGTCCCTTGTGAGGTACTGTACCTCCCGAAAAAGGTTCCAACCTTGCACACGTCCCATTGAAAACTATTGTCGGTGGGTCGTCTTTAGGACCGCGAGTAGTGACAACAGGCGTTGTACAGAGGACTACTGTTCAATATTTCAGGCTGATCAGACGTCCTAAGAGTTCTGCGAGCCCCTCCCGAGTGCATCATGCGGCTTTGGGGTGGCTTTAGGTTTTGAAGCAGATTGTGGTTTTGAACTTAGGGTTTGCTCGAGGGCTCACAAGAACATCGTTCCCAATTGCCTGATTGGATCAAAACGCCGGAAGCAACTCCAAAAGAGCAGCAATGCCTCAACAGGCGCACTGCCGCTGCCCAGCTGATATGGGCAGTTAAAGTAGTGAGTTTGGTCGCTGGACCTTGCTGGACGTCACGTGAGTATTCATGATTTCGGAATCAAAGGCTGAAGTTCAGGGTCAAGAGTTTAGGGGGTCAAGCTTCGGCATTTGGATTCACAGGTTCCGGGTGAACATCGCTCTGCATATGGTTCGCTTCTGGCATTTAGGGTTCAGCGATTAGCTCTTGGGACAAGCTGCCAACTAGAAGCGGTGCGCAAGTAAGCATATATCTGATTGTGCTAGATGACTAACGAGGTTACACATTCGCTGCTTGTTCATTTGCACCATCACTCGAAGCATGTATCCATGATAGTCGTAATTAGCAATCATCATCAGCATCATCAGCATCATGAGCAGCGGCCATGAGCATCTGCAGCTAGCGATTTTGTTGTCTGCTGTCCAAAGACACTGTCAGAACCCAAAGAGCAAAGTCATGTGTTCTGCGGCTCATAAGAGGGTCCATGGTGCATCCAAAACCTCCGTTTGGCACACAATCGGCTGAAGAACATGTTCGGCTGGCAATCATGTGCAATGCTGAAACCACAATGGCAGCTCCGCAGCCCTGCGGCTCCAAGCGAAACCCTCCAAAAGCCAAAGGCAAGACCCGGCCTGAAGACGACCCGGGGAAACAGCAACGGCTGATCCGATCCCGGAGGAGTTCGCAGCGCTGGTCGCAGAAGCATGGCCCCTGCCCCGAGAACGGAGCAACTTCAAGGCAAGTCCGATTTGAGTGTTTCTTGCTGCTTGCTTTTCGTATGCTCTCGAACTGTTGATGATGCTTCAACCGATGCGACGACAACCAAAGGCTTGCGGCTTTCTGGAACAAGAAGCGCCGCTAGGATGTCGGCTCTTGGAAGAAAAATGGATCGACCGCCTTGTTGCGCGTTTGGTCACCACTACTGGTTGAAGCCTCAGAATTCCAAACAGCAAGGCGGCTTAAGAAACCCTTGCTGCAGGCAAGATTCTGCTCTCGTAACTCCTGGCTCTGTAACTACACAGCACAAGCCGGGAACTCCTTCAACCGACCCTCAGGAGCATAAATTCTATCACCACAAGCACACGGCGGGGTGCCTGAGTCCCCCAAGTTCAGGATCGCCATGGTGGATCCACTGAGCTGCCCGAGCAGGGCCTTGATACAAGAATGGTCATTGCTTTGGGCCTTGGGGGTCTTTGGTTTTTTTTTTGGAGGGGGAGGGCCGGGGTTGAAGGTTGGCCAGCCACAACTGCAACAAAGTCAGTAGCTACTAGAAATGACAGTCAAGTGCTTCTACAACTTCCGGGGGGCGGGGTGGGAAGGCTGGCCACTGAATTGCCCAGCTGGGACGGTTTTGACACAATGCTCAGCCGTGAGTCAATGCTTCGGCTTCGGTTGGCGGTTGGCAGGACCAAGAGCATCGCGTGAAGATGGGAAGAGTAAGACCTTGTCACCCGTAGCATGCCATGACTACACCGATCACTGACCACGAGGACAAAACGACGACCACGGCTACGACTACCCAATCACACAAGCACTACCAAAACGACTAAAACCACTATCATTACCAGGTCATTGCCACTGCCACCACTAACACCATGACCACTAGTCGGCGAAGACGACGACCACGAATGCAGCTACGACGACGCCTATTACACTTCTCCTGCTGCTGCTACTGCTACCTCTAGCACTACGACTACTACTAAGCCGACGACGACGACGCCTACTACTACTACTACTACTACTACTACCACCACTAATACTACTACCACTACCACTACTACTACTACTACTACTACTACTACTACTACTACTACTGCTACTACTACTACTACTACTACTACTACTACTACTACTGCTGCAACTACTACAACTACTACAACAACTACAACTACAACTACAACGACTACTGCTACTGCTACTACTGCTGCTACTACTACTACTGCTGCAACTACTACAACTACTACTACTACAACTACAACTACAACTACAACTGCTACTACTGCTACTACTGCTACTACTGCTACTACTGCTACTACTACTACTACTCTTACTACTACTACTACTACTACTACTACTACTACTACTACTACTACTACTACTACTACTTCTTCTACATGTCCTGTGCCGGACCTGGAGCAGCAATTGAGCGCTTCGTCCGAGGCCACAGCAGTAGAGCCTCCTTCCAACTTCTCCTCCAAGATCTGATGACTTGCCTTGAGCAAAGCCTGTCATGCAAGATGGGATGGAAGTCTGGGTCTTTTAAACCCGAGCTAGCCTGCGACCCAGACTTTAGCTTCAATTCTAAAGCAACCGGAGGGGCTAACAGATAACAATATCGGCTTCATCGCACACGGCTGGATTGAGACGAAAACTCCATCGGACAGGCCTAACGCCGGTGTAGGATAAATAGAGGGAGCGATGCAGATGGACTGCGGGAAAGCAGTTCTTCGTGTGTTGCAGGGAGCTGTTCAGTCCTTCCGGAATGAAGTTGACGTGTTGAGTAAACACATAAGCAAGAACAACGGCAGCGAGAATTATAAAGCCTCACAACTTAAACAACATACAGAAATTATGACATGAGCTAACTTAGACAGTGCATAACAATCAGCCACAAAACAACTTAGACAGCGCACAACAACGAGCCACATCAAATGAACGAACTGGATCTCGCCCCTTCTAACAGCAAAAAGCAGAAAGGCATAACAATCGACAAGGTGCAATGAGCCAGACTATGATGCTGAGATGTAAGAACATGCAAGCCAAAGCGAGTGCGCAGAAAATGTCGGTCATCCCTCCCGGCTACTACAGACGGGAAAGATGACTGCAAACTCCTCAGCTTGTTGAGCAATCTGATGTACTAAAAGAAATGAGCACCGCTAGTTGCCAGATAATATATTCTGTTCCATACAATAGCTTTGACTGTTTTGCGAGCCTAGCATCACATGCACACCCAGCAGCAACGCTCACTTAGTTGGTCCTTGCTGTGTCTTCGACGGCCCATTGATCTACGCTGTGTTTACACCTTGTGTTGTAATGCACAGAGGAGCAGTACACCTTCCCAGTCTCTGCTTCCGGCATCTGGATGTGTTGGTGTCTCATGTGTCATCCACATGAACACTGTAGGACCGGTAGAAACTTCTCTATCTCGGCGCGTGCACATATGTCCCTATATATATATATATACACATATACAAGTATGTATACACAGGTATATAGCCGTACATGACAAACCATCTCACACGACCCCCATGCGCGAGCAACGCCTTCGCTGTGTGCGCCGGGTGTGTTGGGGCACCAGTTTCGCATGATACAGCCTTTTTTTCACCGTCACTGTCACGTGTCAAGAAGGCCTCAGACTAAATCCGCAGACACAAAAACCACCCCAAGATGTTAAACCTGGCAAACCTGATCTCTAAGCGTGTCGTGGGCCACGAAACCTTGTTACTGGAAGCGGTCCCTAAAGAATCTCGGCAAATATCTAGACATTATGCCATCCAAATTCCTGAGCCGAAGCCATGGAGCTTACATAAGTAAAGACGATCATCGATGTATCTGTTGGCAGGTGTATACATACATACGCACATAATATAGTGTATATATATAGTATAATATAATATATTAGAATATAGTACAATATATTTTTATACATATACAAGTATTTGTATACACACACATACACATACACATACATACGTACATATATATATATTGACATACATCAATGCACACGTACATGCACAGGTTCTCCAGAATGCCCGTGGATCCCTGAGCCCAGGCCTCTTGAAGGTCGCTCTCAGTGTCTGTAGAGCTGATGCCCTGGATCGGAGGCCACTGGGCTTCGGCCCTTAAGCTCCGAACGCTCTCTATTCGGTTGCTTCGGAAGCATTGCACAGATGCCGACGTCGTGTGATGTTATCGCGATCCAAGCAGGAGTAGGGGTCCGCTTACTATCACTCATTGAATTTGGGGGTTGTCACAGATTTGCTGCTGAACTGTACAGCATCCGATTAACTGGACTTTATGGTAGTTTCCGAAATCTCTGACACTTGTGTAGGTAGTAAGACCTTTCTTCCGAAAAGACCCCTGAGCCGTTTTTGTAAAGTCCCATCTCGGTACTTCTTGCTGCAGGAGAGAGTTTTCATCAAGCCCACCTTTCGGCTCGCAAGACGTGCTGTAGGTGGTGCTTTTTGCAGAGATCTCTGCCATGGAAACAATGGAGACTGGCCAAAACCAGCGCAACTCTCATGTTTCCAGGATTACCGATGTGAAACATGTCATGCCTGCAAACCCCATCAACCTTGAGCCAGCAAACCTGAGGTTTGGATGAAGCTTCGTCAACTGGAGATCACTGATGGGACCATAGGCGTGCATGCCCGCATGCATGTGTGTATGTGTATGCGTATGTGTACGTATGCATGCATACATGCATGCATGCATGTATATGGAGTTGAGGATGTCGGGTTGGAGGCTAGGCGGCCAGGGTAGAGAGGCCTATCCAGAGCCTATTATGACAATCCATAGTCAGAACACTAGGACATCCTGCTGCCTTCCCCGGCCTCCAGACACAGTCGGAGAAGGCGCCGGGCAAACAGTCCTGGGTCAACACCTTGGGCAAACCGGTGTACATAGATTCGAACTGCTGTCAGGCTCAGAGTTCTTTAGATTCTGTAGCGGTGATGATGATGAAAACGAACTTGAAGATGATAATGGCATGTATCACCGCCATACTTATCCTGAATGGCCATGAACATTGGAAAGAGCGTAGCGAGAACGGCAATGATCAACAACGAACCTATGACACAGACGCTGGTGGTGATCTGCATGACGATGAGATGACGGATTACCAGGACTATGTTGATAAGGATGATGGACATGAAGAAGATGGTAGTGGTTTCTGTTGTCTCGAAATCCTACTATCCCTAGTGATGTGGAGCTCAGAATTGAGAGCTCCAACATGATACGTGCATTCTGCATGAACTCCTCTGCTTCAGGATGCTTCTCACAGTCCGGCGCGTTTCGACACAACATAAGAGCCAGGAAAGCCTGCTTTATGCTCTCATCCCACGAAGCGGCATCGACCTTGCACCTCATTACCTATTCCTTGCAAAAACTGCAAGTCCTTCTGCTTCATCAAGTTCAAGCTTTCCGCCTTAAACCACAGCCGCCATCGAGCTTGCCAGCCGGTCCATCTTAGCAGCAAGTTGGTGGGCACCAATTCTGCAGGCCTTGTCGCCCTGAAGAATTGCTCGCAGCTTTGACTCGCGAGGCTGCATCTGCTCGGCGTCCGAACGCTGGCTCAAGCCGCAGCGAGCAGTGTCGCAAAACCCGTTACAGTTTAGGGCCTTTCGGGTTACGGCCTGAAATATTGGCTGTCACACCGAGCTCCCGAACAGGATCCGAACACCAAGTCGACCTCGCCCCCCAAACCACGAATCCTACAAGCCCGCTGCACGAGTGTAGGTTTAGAGTGCCCGTGAACTGTACAGGTCACACCTACCAGTGTTACCATTCCTACGTTCCTCTTGAAAGCCTATGAAACCTTCTGCATTGCGCCAGCGAGTCCAACACGCTTATCTGACAACAGCTCGCAAAGAGAATGAAAGGGAATTCAATTGAACCCGATCCCTGGCATTGTGCTGCACTCGTCTGGGCGAGCCCGGCCGCTGTCGGCCCAGCCACCAACGCCGTCTGCGACGCCGAAAGAGC